CTTTAGAACCCAAGCCAATTCTTCATTATCTTGGGACAGACAACCCATATATGAGGCCAAGAGCAAAAACCTACTGAAATGTCTGTATCTACAGTTTGTAAAGGAGTCAGGCACCATGGTTTCCCAGGAGTTTTCCAAGTGGTAAAATTATATTGTCACTTGCAGCTGTTATATGCAAAGTTCCACAGATTCCTTGAAATCTTCATTTTTTCTATGAAAGCAATTGAATGTGTTACTGTCAACTTCTAAGTGATCATTTTGATGGCTTAAGTCAAGGTACATCTTTATCTGATCTATAATAAATAGTGATCTATAACAAACAGTGAGAAGTAGTGCAGCCTTTGGAACTAGCTGTCAACTCCTACATTATTTCTTCCTATCAGCACATGTTCCTCTTTAGCCACTACAGCCTACAGGGTGGGAAACTTACCTACATGCAAAAGCACAAGTCCTTCATGAGCCAAAGGAAAGCCTTGTCCCAGTGTAACTCTAAATCTTCCTTTTCCCCCTGTAAAGCTTGTGTGTGAGCCAAAGGGAAGCGCCGTGGCTGGCACACCTGCATCAGTCCTGCACACACAGAGCCTTTAAAAGCAGCCTTTTCCAGAGCCTCTGCCAGCTGCTCAGCTCTAGGAATGATAGACATTTCCAAAGCCACACACCCACCTCTCCAAACCCCTGTGACCTCTGTCAGTTGAAGCTGACGGCCTGAACGTTGAAACAAACAAGACTGCTTAAGGGACCATGTTGTATGTGCATGAGCCTGGATTTAGTTAAGAGCATTCGCATGCCAGCAAGCACCACCAAAACCAATCAATTGGACACCATGCATTCCAAATATGCATAGAGAATAGAATTCCACAAGGGCTTTCCTGGACATGGATGTCAATACTACTGTGAACAGAATCAGCCTGTCCTCATCTCGTCCATGTCTCAGAGCCGGGCAAAACTGCCCCAGGGGATGGAAGGGAGAGGGGATTTTACACAGGCTGGAAATGTACACATCCCAGGAGTGCTTCTTTTCCTTTGAAAGTGTGTTGTAGAAGTTGCAGGAGGAAACAAAACAAAAAAACCTCCTGCTTAAAATATCCACCTACCCTGGTATTTTATGAAGTCTTTGAACACTGAGGAGTCCTGACACAAACACAGATTCTCTGTGTGTGTGTGAAATTCAGTTGTTAATTAGGAACCCAAATGACTGTGAAATTTTCCAGTGGAGTCAGGCTAATGTTAGCTCCCAGAAATCTGGGCTGACCTGGCTGTGAAGTAGCACCTCCTGTCCTCTTCTCCAACTCTGAGCAGAGAGAGCCTCCTCTGTGTCACCGGTTCTCCCAATTAAGGGTGCGGATTTTTCCGACACCGACTGCCACAGTAGCTGGCGGCTTTGTGTCCTGCTTTGGTCATGCTACATGTAATTTAGTCAGCCTGTCAGGATGATGAAGAGACGTGGCCTGTCCCCTCTCCCACCCTGCTCTTGGATTTGTTGATATGACGTCTTCTTTACAAAAATAAGGGATTTTAGCAGACTGTCTATAGTTGCAGTGTGAAGTGAAGATGCTATGAGGACGCATTTAAAAATTTGACCTCATTGCCCATATGTCAACGCCACACTCCCAGAGCTCATGCACATACCTGACGCAGGGCAAAGCATGAACATCCACAGCATCCAGGGTCTGAATCTTTCAGACTTGGATGTCTGATAGGGGCCTCTATTAATCATGTTCCAACGTGGACTTAGATTAATGACCTACACTCAGTCTCATATGCACAGTAGGTGCTGGCAGCACGCTTAATGGAATCAAACCAAATTCCGCACTCACGGTGCAATCCTTCCGTATTGTTGGCAGCAAGCTGTTTCTTTCAATGGCGCACAGAACTGGGTCTTTGATCAAAAATGAAAATACAAACCAGTCAGTGTTTGGTTGCAGGATTCTGGCAGCCTCCTTGAATCTCTAGATAAGCTCTAATTTGAAACAACAGCATTTGTTTGCGTAGGGCAGGCTCCACAGAGCCTTGTAAATGCACCTCTCTATCATAGGGTACAATGTGCCACTCGACTCGAAGTGCCCCTTTGTGTGAGTTCAAAGATACCTTCTGTGTCTTGACTCTTAATCAGTGAGGAAACAAAGCTGAGCTGCGGAGAAAAGTCTATATGGAAATCCATATTGCGGTGTGGATTTCATTTGGTAGAGGGGGAGACTGATTTTGTCACCAAAGCCTGTGCTTCCCAAGCCTGAGTTGATACAGCCCCAGCATGTCTCCACTTATCTCAGCAAGGGCCAGCACAATTTTCAGAAAATGAAGCTTCAACAAAATATTTCTAGTATAACTCAAACATGTTAAGTAATTGTATATTCCATGATAGGAACATTTGCCTCCAGAAGGGGAACATAGGGCCACAGATGGGGCTGCAGTTGAATTGTCCAGCTAACATTATAAATGACCTTGGACAAGCCAATTCATTTCTAAGGTTTAGGTTTATCAACCATCAAGTAAGAATAGTAATTCCAGGTCTGGCACAGTGCCTGTGGCACTGGCATCTCCTATGGGCACCAGCTTGTGTCCCCACTGTTTTGCTTCTGATCCATGTCCCTACATATGGCCTGGGAAAGCAGCAGAGGATAGCTCAAGCCCTTGGGCCCCTGCACCCACACTGGAGACTCAGAAGAGCAACTCCTAACTCCCGGCTTCAGACCAGGCCAGCTCTGGTAGTAGCGGCTGTTAGGGGAGTAAGCCGAGGGATGGAAGTCCTCTCTTTGTCTCTTCTTCTCTCTTGGCAAAATCTACCATTCAAATAAAAATAAATAAATCTTCATAAAGAATAGTATTTCCTGTTTCTGGCAGTTTATTAGAATTAATGTAAGCCATTGGTGGCTACTGATTGATTCTATTACAAAGTAATTGAGTCAGCTTCCCCTTGAAATTGCTGTTAAAAATGGGACATTGTTTGAGTTTGTAACAAAGATTCTAAGAACTGTTAGACAAATGGACTTGGGCAACGCAGTTTTCTATCTAAAACCAAGCACTTACTACAAATAAAGATTATGTTAAATACACATTGTGAATTTAGCCTCATACAATAGCCATTAAAACCACAGAGGTATGTGTTGTCATCTCAGTGATCTTGAACATGATTTTTCATTTGTTTGTGATGCTGTTGAAATGGATCTGGCTTGAAATGACAGTGGAAAACCTTAATGGAGTTTGTCTAACATGGCTGGGCACCATTTCAGTCTCCTCTTGCGTCTCCTCAGTATGAGCAGGGAAGACCTAACTCTGGAATCACAGAAACCAACACAGACCAGACTGCAATTGTTACAACAGCCACCTGTGCCTGCAAGACCTGAGGCACACGCCTTGGTTTTCTACAGTGGGTTGATATCGAGTGTCCAGCTACAATATGGACACTTACTCATTTGCTAGATGCCAAGCTCATTGAGAAGTGCTCAAATATGTGTGACCCCAGCGACACAGAATTAACAAAAACTGCCCTTCTTCCATTGCTTCTTAGGGCAACTTTCTATTACTAGCTTAAGTATTAATGTTATAAATTGTGAAAAACAGAATGGTTGCTTTAAAATTTTTCTACCTTGAGCAATGTGAAAATGATTATGAAACTGGGGGAAATTCCAGCTAAGTTTATCTTTTTACGTCTTTAGAATATCTTCTTTTTTTTATCTACTTGAAAGGCAGAGTTACAGAAGGAGAAAAAGAGACAGGTAGATAGAGTAAGATGTTCCATCTGCTGGTTCACTTCCCAAAAGGGTGCAGAAGCCACAGCTGGGCTAGAGTTAGACAAAGCCAGGAACTAAGAGCTGGACTTGAACAGAGCAGCTGAGATTTGAACTGGTACTCAAATGGGATGCTTCCATTACAGACACTAGCATGCACACTATGCCACAATTCTGGCTCTACTTATTTATGTAATGATTTTTTTTTTTACTTACTTGAAGGCAGAATTACAGTGAAAGAGAGGCAGACACCTGTTAAGCTTAGTAAGCAACGATTTAAAGCCACATAGGGAAAGAATCATGATTTAGAATTCATCATTAAACCATGGATTTGAATATTTCTGACCAAATCTAACACCTGATATTTCCAAGATCCTTACACACACACACAACTTGTTACACATCCACAAATCCTTACATTTACATACACACATAAACATTCATGAGAAAGCACAGAATCAGAAGTCTGAAACAAGACAGCAATGGAAGCAGAAAGCAAGACAAATACTTATTTCTACTAACATGCTGAATAAACATCATCTACCAAATACAAAGAATGAATAAACAGGAAGAGTTTTTTTTTTGATTGAAGACTGTCAATTTTCGATTGATTGAAGTATTAGGTTGGAGTTGCATATCCCTTTAACCTGTGTGCACTCATCCATCTACTTTGAGAAGAAGGAAGTAGTAACAAACTGACTGGCAGCACAGATCAACACGTGAACCAAAGCTTTGTTTGGACGCCTTCCTAGGCCCCTTCTCAGGCCATCTTGCATACTGGCAATGAGTTTTGCAAATGTGACTAAAAGGATATATATGGTCCAAGAAAATCACATATTAGGAATCAGCCCAGCTATGTGTGGGTGGCTAGAAATGGAAAAGAATGATGCAAAGTGCTATTAGGTTTGATATTCCACTGGCCATTACGAGGCAGTACTGAATGATACAATAATTCAAAGTTGGGTTTGGGCTGAGTGGTATACATACATAAAATTCCTAGAGAACTGAGCCAGCCAAATGCTGCGTTACACCTACTTAAAACTGCATTTTGCTTGTGAAAACTACATTTTCATTGTGTGTGTGTGTCTGAATTCTGTGGCAAAGTTTTAGTGGTCAAGTTTAATAATAAAAAGTATCGAATACTCCAACAACCAGAGGGAAAGCATGGCAGATTCAAGGTGAACTAGACTGTAAGTAACAATGGCATTGATATGTTTTCATCGGAGGAGCATGGAAAGAGCATGGACTTGTAAAAGTCTTTCTTTTACAAAATATTCTTGCAGGTGCTTTATGAAATGAAAAGGATATGGATGAGATCTTCATCATGGCTGTAGATTGCAGTGTGAAGTTCATCTTCCAAGTACAGTAACTTCTTGCTTATGGCATCACACTTTTGTTCAAGTTCTGCAGAAAGAATGTAACATTCCTGGCCAGAGAGAAAGAAAAAGATCATGTGTAAGCTTTTTAAGGCTTAACTTTTTAAGGCCATGAACATGGTGCACAAAGAGGAGACTTCCCAGAAAAGCTCTCTCTGTTTCTTCCCTTCCCTGTGAATCAGGCCAGAGCCTTTGTCCTCCTTGGAGATCAGTCTCAGGAAGACAGGAGCTGCTGACTCTACATGGCTCCATGGGTTACCTCCTTTATCTGGTCACTTCAAAGTGCTGCTTCCAATAGGTCAACTCACAAGGTGGAATTAACCAAAAGAGAAGCCTGAATCTTCCAGCTACATCCACAGGCAAAGTCATCATGGAATAAGAATTGTAACAAAAAGGAGCAGGGAATGTGGAGGTGTTACTGGAGAAACTAACATGAAAACAAGTGAGTCTATGAGGACACCAAGTGTTTGTTTATACACTAGCCACAGTCTACAAAGCCAGGCTAGTAAGGAGACTAAACACTAGGAGGCAGATGCCGTTTCAATAGTCACTGCCACCATCCGCACACACTGCAGTAGGAGCTTCAGAAGAGCCAGCTGGATGATGTTTTTCCCACTGCTGAGTCATAGCTCCTGGCACAGCACCTGGTCTGTGGCAGGCCTATCACATTTATTGCTTTGATGAATGAACAGTTGAAGACTGAAGCTCCTTCCTTCTCTAATGTCTTTTTTCAAACTTACATTCAACACACAATCCAGTAATAGTTCTCTTTGTGTGACCTTCCTATCCAGAGCAGAGTTCAAACTCTGGCCTTGGGCCACCGGCTCAGGGAGCACAGGCTCCCTCATCAGTGGTATCTCTCACAGTCTCTGAAATGCATCCTATGTGTACCAGTCGGGGCAGCTTCACAGCCTGCCTTCCCTCGCATGGTTCCAGCATGTGTTCTGTTTTCTCCAAGAGCCAACTTGACAAGAGTCACATGTAGGGCAGCAATCCTAATAGGTGCTACATCCTCTCCAGGAACTGGAAGCCCCTCACAGGCAAAGGCCATGGGTTTGTCATTTACCCCACGACCACAGACTCTCCAAAATGAAGATTAAGCAAATGAGGGTGGGAAAGAGGAAAGTTTAGACTAAAGGAGAAAAAGAGAGAAATAACCTCAGCATCAAAACTTGGTGAGAGGCCAGTGTTGTGGGGTAGTGAGTAAAGCTGCCATATGTGATGCCAGCATCATATATGGATGCCAGTTTGGTAACAGTTGCTCCACTTCCAATTCAGCTTCCTGAATAGCCATGGAAAAGAAATGGAATAGAGCGCAAGTGTTTAGATCCCCACCCATTCATGTGGGAGATGGGCTATGCATGACCAGTGCTGGCCAGCTAGAGAGCAAACCAGCACAGAAAATTCATTTCTCTCTTCTCTTTCTTTCTCAAGCTCTACTTTTCAAACAAAAAAATCCTTAAAAAACAAGTAAAGTGTATAGGTAGTGTTTTCCCAACTAATAATTAAAGACTTAGGAAGTATGTTAACAGTATTTTAAATATGGAAAAATAATAAGATATGGATTAGATCTGATTGTAGAGACACTATAAAAGCAAAGATTAATATTTAACAATAACAAAATGCTCAGATGTGATACTATTTACTGTTAAAAGGTCCTTAGAGATGTAGCCTTATGTACTATTACAATCAAAGTGCACGAGTAACAATTAAATCCAGATATGTAATTTGACATTCACTGTATTAGCTCTAGAATGCTTTAAAGTTTATATCTTAAATCCTCAATCATATTAGACTAAACCAATGTAAATGGAAACTGAAAAAAACTGTCATAAATAGTGGAGACATCTAGTATAATGTGGGTAAGTGTGGATACAAAAGAAAAGAAATCTAGCGACAATAATATACAATTCTGAGGACATATGGCTACAATTAAACAAGCTGTAATGTGAAACATTCATGAAGGTTTGCTGAAACTGATGTAATTATGAGAGGTCAGCAAATACATAAAATCACAGAGACATGTATATTTTACGGATCCTGAAAGTAATAACATTACCATTCAAAGATGTGGAGTTAAGAGTAGAGACACCACATGGAAGCAGGGACAATAGGCAGTGACGAACACCATAGTCATGCATGAAATAAATGAGACACTAAGAATAGGAACATCTGGAGAAAAGTGATTGACAGTGGCAAAACCACAAGCCATATTTGAAGAAGAAAAATACAGTGTTAGCAAGAAAATCTACACAACTGAGAACATATTTAAAGGAAGAAAAAAATGTAGAATTAGAACAGGAAACCAAGGAATTTAAAACGCCCTAAATAAAATAACTTGATCTTCATCATAGGACTGTAATAAATATGAAATCAAAGCTGAATAAACACATTTAAAGTATGACTACATTTATGCTGCAAAATATAAGTTATTTGCAGGATATGGGAGTAAGAATCCTGAGGCCAATCCCCCAAGGACTCTGAGGGACACCTGACTTGACAGATGCTGATTCTGAACTAAAAGGACGCTGGATATGATCAAGTGACCATTACTTGAAGGGCTTATTATTTACTACAATGAAATTCAAAACACTGGGAACAGAATTAGTTTAGACTCAAAAACTGAGGACTCACAGCTGATGTACACATTTATACATGAGATGTGGCCAACAAAAAAGAAAACTTATACGCCCTATGCTTGACAATCACGAATACTATCCACTACAAAGCCATGGGTGTCCCTGAAATGGACTTTCGCAGGATTTGCAGTACTAATGGAAAATTTTAATTATGTGTTATTGAGCATTTCAAAGTGTCTTTGAAAACTCTCCAATCCTGCAAAAAAAAACCTGTTTAGCAATCCCAATTATTATTATTTTTCTTTCTAAATATCCTCTGTTACATATCCTCTGGAGTAATTTTTGCCCATAAAATAACTGGTCAAAAAAAGTCCTTCTATGTCCAGCTAACTCTGCTCTCTCTTCAAAATCCTCTAGATTCTGCCAAGAGACTTTCAATCCTGAAGCTGCCACTTTACTCAAACCTGGGCTAGGAAGCTTGTTTCCTGTGTGTGCCTGCCCATCTCCCACACTAGATGATAACTGAGTGACACCCTGCTTTCCTTGAATCCCGCACCTAGGCTGTCTCACACCTAAAGGTTGCTTATGCTTATGGAAGCAATGGATGGAGACTCTTCTCTCTGACCAGATGCTACCATTTCAATGTTGTTTATGTCCAAAGTTTGATGTGCTGCAGGTTTGGTCCTCGGTGCATCATTAGTAAGAGGTAGCAAAGGCTTTAAGCAACAGAGCTCAGGGCCCATTGTGGTAGCCTAGCAGCTAAAGTCCTCGCCTTACACGGGCTGGGATCCCATGTCCCTGGTTTGTGTCCTGGCTGCTTCACTTCCATTTCAACTCCCTGCTTGTGGCCTGGGAAAGAAGTAGAAGATGGGCCAAAGCCTTGGGACCCTATGCCCGTGCTAGAGACCCAAAAGAGGCTCCTGGCTTCAGATCAGCTTAGGTTCGACCTTTGTGGCCACTTGGAGAGTGAAGCAGAGGACACAGGATCTTTCTCTCTGTCTCTACTTCTCTCAGTAAATCTGATTTTCCAATAAAAATAAATGTTAACAAAGAAAGAAGAAAGAAAAAAAGAAAGAAGGAAAGAAAGAAAGAAAGAAAGAGAGAAAGAGAGAAAGAGAAAGAGAGAAAGAGAGAAAGAAAGAGAGAAAGAAAGAGAGAAAGAAAGAAAGAAAGAAAGAAAGAAAGAAAGAAAGAAAGAAAGAAAGAAAGAAAGAAAGAAAGAAAGAAGGGAAGGAAGGAAGGGAGAGACAGAGCTTAGCGGAAGGTGATTAGGTCACTGGGTGAGCTGTCCCTGAAAGGGATTAGTGCTGATCCCTCAGGGTGAGTTAATTCTCAGTTGCTATGCAACAGGGAGTCTGATCCTTGAAGTGCTCTGGCTCCATGTTTTCCCATGGACCTCTCCCTTTCACACCTGCTCCTCCCATGAAACCATGCACCGTGTTGGGGCAGAGAAGAAGGCTCTCAGCACAGGCCCAACAGATGCAGATGTCTACTGGTTGACGTTCAGCACAAAGACAAATTAAATCACTCTTGTCTACCCAGTCTCAGGTATGTGGTTACAGCAATGGAATGCACATGAATATACCAGGTCCGGGCCCGGCGCGGTGGCACAAGTGGTTAAAGGTCCTCTCCTTGCACGCCCGGGATCCCATATGGGCGCCGGTTCTAATCCCAGCAGCCCCGCTTCCCTTCCAGCTCCCTGCCTGTGGCCTGGGAAAGCAGTCGAGGACGGCCCAAAGCTTTGGGAACCTGCACCCGCGTGGGAGACCCGGAAGAGGCTCCTGGCTTCGGATCGGCATAGTATCGGCCCATTGCGCTCACTTGGGGAGTGAATCATTGGACGGAAGATCTTCCTCTCTGTCTCTCCTCTCTGTATATCCGCCTTTCCAATGAAAAAATAATAAAAATAAATCTTTAAAAAAAAATTAAAAAAAAATGAATATACCAGGTCTGGATGCTACCCTGTTTTTCAAACTGCATTCTCTAAGCAGACAAAGAAGAACCAAATGGAAAGAAACTGGTATGGAGACTTTTCAGAACACTGAAAACCTCCCTTTACTTCAATCCAGTTGAGAGCAGCCTTGTCCCATACAGTTCCCCTGCCACTGGAGATACAATAGGCTCCTGTATGCCTACCACAACACTTCCAAAGCACAACACTTTTCTGTACTGTCCCTCCACATAGGTAGGATTTGGTAGCACCAACTCAGCTAAACACTATTTCAAATACAATTTGCGTAACTCACGTTGTGATCAATACCTTTAAAATTTTCAACTGTGTTGCATTAGAAATGATGTTAAATTTCTGTTCTACGTACCCAACTCGGGCCATGATTTGAAACAAAACATAGACTTTGCTTTTTCCCATTAAGATGATTTCCTATAAAACAATTATCTACAAAAGGAGATATTCAGATACCCAAATCATTCAATTCCAAACTTGAAAAGATACCTAACCCACACATACTGAT